AAAAAAAAAAAAAAAAAAAAAAAAAAGTGCACAACACAGGCACAATAACAGAAGCCTGATCTGTCAGGCAAGAGGAAGTTACAACCAAGCCAACCCTCCTCAGACTGGTTTTTGTTTTGGAGTGACAGTGTGAAGGGAACTGGCCTAACTTGGCCTGCTGTACCTTAAGGTTGGTCCCCATCTGCAAGTTCTCACCATGCAAGATTTGGGCTTATGAGTTCCCTTCACTCTAAAACCTTAAGCTTCCAAGCTGCATGTCATAAAAATAGAGAAAGCAGCTGCAGGAGTGATGGGCACCACTTGCTGAGCCAACAGGTAGGCAATGACCATGAGGAGAACTTACAGGTGGGCCAGCTATCAAGCCAGGCCTTCTGTTTTGTTTTGTTTTTAGGCTCACCTACCTTCACAAGGCCTCTTACAAAACGGTAGTGGCCACAGCAGCTAGAAAAAAAGTTTGCACAAGCAGCAAAAAGATGCCACTTTAGCTTCCAGCCCTACTGCTTCAGCATAAAAGCTTGAGAGCTTGCTACCAAGAAAAGAGAGAACAAACAAACAAAACGAATAAAACCACAGTTAATTAGCTAGGTAAAGAGTTTTTTGTAGAACGAAAGCAAAACAAGAAAACCTGAACGAGGGGCATTTGGGGAGGGGGGGGGGTAGGAACCAGCAAAGAATATACATGAGGGCAAAGAGTCATGTGACTGAACAACATATAAAGTTCCCGGCCACTTGTTACAAATGGCCTGCTACACCCATTGCAATGCAAAGCTCTCTTGTCCATGCAGTTATTTTCTGCACGTTCGGTGAGGCGTCTGCTTCTTTTGCGTATCCAGCCGACAACGGCTTCGTTCATCCAGCCAGGGCAGCTCAAAGTTTCTGTCAGACAAGATAAAGAGCCTTAGTCCACAACCCAAAAAAAAGCAAAAAAAACCGTTCAGTACAAAACTAGATGGGCTGTGTTTTCAAGGAGACGATATAGCTGATTTTCTACAGGGTGTAACTCTCACAAAAAGAGCATTGGTCAAAGGTAAGAAAAACCTAACAGAACTGTCCTTTGACATATTTAATGCTAAGAGCTCTAGCCCCAAGGACAAAAGCAGCTGTAATTTCAATATCTCCCAACACAGAATTACTTCACATTTACTATAAAATGTCCTGCAGCCACATGGGTTTTTTGTTTTCTTGTTTTTCTATTTTATGCTATTAAGCACCAGTGTAGGAAAGAATAAACTTGCCAGAGGAAGGGACATGGTGATCAGAACTGCTCTGGAAAAGGGGGCATTTTCCAAAGATTCCTTCTGGCCCCATTCCCTCCAGCATAAAATTTCACTCCTTTTCACAGGAATGGTATGTCCTCCAGTGCTACCCTAGGGTAGCCACTAGGGGGACAGGCAAGCACAAAAAGGAGCTGTAGACACTGCACTCCTAGACTCGCAACACCACATTTAAACATTCAGTCACAGGGGTGCCATTTTGTGCCCCATTCCCCTAGCCTAACTGTGACAGGAGTGCCTCTACTAGAGTCTTTCTATTGGTGACTCCACCCTCCTGTTATGGGAACAACCGCCTGCCTACTTGCCTGCCATACCTTGATCTTAATTGATTAATTAATAGATGTAATTAGCAGGAGGCTGCCCATTGTTTTTGCCCCAGTGCCAGGGGGCGCTATCTGCAGCTCCTTTTCCTCCCCTACACCACAGCCCAAGCCTCACAGATGGTACTGACGTGGTTTTGACCTGGGGCCTGCTGTAATTTGGGCCTCTCTTTGACTTCCCTGGGCTTCCACCGCCCTGTCTCGTCCCATGCCTTCCTGGCGCTCTGCCGCCCCCTCGCTCTGGGGCTTCTCGCTCCTTGAGGCCCTCTCTCAGGGGCTGGGGTCAGTGCACCCCAAAATGCCATGCCCTCTCTGGCACCAAGGTCCCTACGCTACCGTAGAGCCCCTATAAGGCCTCCTCCAACCCCTGATAGGCTCACCCGGTCCTCCGGAACTTATGAAACTACAAATAAAAACTCAAGCCCTTGGGCTACAACAAAAAGTCTCATTCAATCCCTACCAGGGAATTCTCCACCCGTAACAGCAGACAGGAGCTGCTCTGTCTGTCAGGCTTCTCCACTCCGCTTGCCCCAGCAGAGCTCCTTCTCCCATGGCTGCCAGTGGATCACTGCCCTCCTGGCTTCGCTCCTGGGGTTTATATGTGCCAGGCCCTGCCCCTTCCTGTCAGCTGACTCCCCAGCGGTTGCCCTAGCAAGCAGCACTTGTGAACCTGGCTGCCCTGGTAACTAGCAGCTGGGCTCCCCACTCACTGCTAGGGCTCTATCCCTGGCTGTTCCTGCTTTAAGGAGCAGGGCACCTGCACGCTCTGCGACACTAATACACTAACTGAACTACTGGACAGGAGAATACTGAGCTGCTGACCAGCCTGGACACTCTTTGAAAGCTTAGTTAGGACTCAGTGGCTGCTGGGTTCTACTGAACATCATTTCTAGATGAATCTGGAAGGGGAGTTCATCTTGTGCTTTCAGAGAAGGTACATCTAAGTTTTACAAAAGGGAAAATACTTACTGTGGGGTTAGTTTTGGTAATGGTCGGCCAAATGCTACAACAGGCAAGTAGGGGGTAATCAGCAAGCTTTCCACTGTTAGGAGAAAGATACGATAAAAGAAGTTTATTAAGCTGCACATTTATCCACGTGGACAATTAGGATATAACTACAGACCAGCCGATTTACAGCAGGCTCTTCCTATTCATGTTTGATGAGTAACTCACCATCATCTGGCTCAGGGAAAAATGAGGTAACTTCAGGCTCAGATTCCTGAATTCCTTTCCTTTTATACATTCTGAGCTGCAGTCGCTGTAGAATTCTTTGTTCCCTGATCCTCTGGATATCCCACCTGAAAGATAAAACCCAGACAGTTAAGAAACTTTATTCAGCTTTGTGCTACCGGCTATTCAAGGATCTCAAAAGACTTTACAGACTTTTCCTGATTAGGCCAAACGATATGCGTAGGGGGTAGGCCAGGTCAGGAGGACCATTTTACAATACAGTGAACTGGAGGCGTAATGTGGATGAGTGACTTGCTGACGGTCACACAAAGCCAGTGGCAGAGCCTGCAACAATTCAGGAGTCCTAGCTCTCAATTCCCCAGTCCCAAACTCTAGTAGCTTTGCTTTTATTTTCACAGGACAGATGCAGGGTGGATAAAACTCAGTGACTTTTTTTTTAAATTTAAATTGGATTTTTTTATTTACTCATATATTTTCATTTTTTATTAAGATTGTTTTAAAAAAATAAACATATATAAAGATCATTTCAATTTAAGATGTGTTCAAGCTCAAAGATATCATCATGAAAAGACTCTACAGACTTAAAGATTATAACTTAGATTATAACTTCTAATTATATACTATTTGAGACAATATATTCATGTAACCTTTTTTAGAAATGTTTTACAAATAGGTCACAACACACCATAGACTATATTAGGGTCCCAATCTTATGCGGTCCCAGAGGCTCCTCTATAGATTAGTAAAGATTAAAGAAAACCACTCTACCCAATGGGACTCAGTACTCAGTCCAGAAGATCCCACTAAGCATCTCTGCAAAACTGTGGATTTGTGTCTCCACACATAACATCCTTGTTCACAGCAGTATATGGAGAAGAACAGACCTGATTACCAACCCATCAGCCCTTCGTCTCTGTAAATTTGGGTACACAGAGTCAAGCCCTTACCACTCTCTAAAAGTGCAGTTTCAAAAAGTTAAATGAATAAAGTATATCAAACAGGAATGCACTTTTTTGTAGAAAACAATGATTAAATTGTGGCTTCCTGACCAGTGATTTAAATTGTGATTTAAATGAGGATTTAAACTGGTTCGATTTAAATCAAATCCACCCTGGACAGATGACACAAAGAGAGTGGAGTAATCCCTAAGAAGCATGGTCATTCAAACTTAAAATAGTTCTAATTTGATAAAAACAAAGGACTTTGCTGGTTTTCCTTGTATATTCTAACCAGAATCCTACAGTAGCAAGTCATCTAACACTCTGCCCTTCCCCAACAGTTTCTTCCATAGCCAGTTTCTACAATCCTCTGCTGCTTCTAGGCTATCATTAGGAACACAACAAACAAAGCTCATGAAGGCATTATGACCATCCAGCCTGGGATCTTGTCTAACTGGCCAGGACATTTCACCCAACTTAACTGCTTATGGATGAACTAGAATGAAGTGCAGTCTTTTTGCACTTTCAAAACTCCAAGCACTGAAGAACTTAACTACATGCCTTAGCAAACTGCTATCAAACTTCTCTATAATAAAACTAAACCGGAACTTCTGAGTCACACATTCAAACACGTTTTGCAGACTCCCTATAATTTTTTGTATTCCTCTCCTCACCCTCGAAGGGCTGAAGAAAAGGAAGGAGAGGCTTTGAAAAAAAACAAATGAAGAACTAGAACAGAAAGTCCTTAGCCTACCTAAGCTTTTAATGTTCAGAACCCATCCTCAATATGTGCAAACACATTGGATTCTGAAGAAGTTTCAGCAACTCCTTAGAGGTTCTGCAGATTCAGAGACCATAACACCTATAATTGCAGCATTCAACACACAGAGCAGGAAAGAAGAACACATGTTGTTGAAGGGATGAATTGTTGCCCTCACCTTTTCCTCCTCTTCTCATCCAGCTCCAGTTTTGCATGCCTTTTGGAAAATACACTGTCATCTAGATTCTGCAAAGAGAACAGAGGTGGTTAGTGCTCTCCTGACCAGCAGTCCAGAATGCATTCCTTCACCTGCTACAGTCTGTTTTCCCTTTAAAACAGGGATGGCTGACAGAGTAATTGCAACACAAACATCAAAATCCAAATAAAAATAAAAGCTCTGTGTTGAAACTGGTGAGTCAACTCTCCACAGCCACACCTTTTTGTAAAACTAAAGCATGTATTTGCTCAAACAGTTCAGTAGCCAGCAAATAAAAGTTCTGACAGGTTGCTGCTGTTTGCTATGAAGCTGGAAAGAATAAAGGGACTCTTAGTCCAGCAACAAAACCTAATATTTCCACATTGGTCATAGATACCCAATGCCTCCCTAGAGCAATAAGAAACTCCACAAGACACAAACTTATTTAAGCTCTTACTTTAAAACCAGAAAACTGAACCAATGGCAAAATATCTGTTTTTATTATATCTAAGCTGTACATGTATATACACGCACATGCATGAAGGAGATGGAAGAGAACAAATACAAAGCCATTTATTAATCACATACCTCCAAGAGATCTGAAGGATTTGGGTCTCTCAAGGGCTCTACAACATGGTCCCTCCAAGAAGGAACTGAGAAGTGTAACAAAAAATGAGGTTAATCTACGAAAAAACCTGAACATTACAGTTGAAAGAAATCCTCAGGTTATCCAGTTTGACCTCATGTCTAACACATGACAGAATTTCAACCCAAGAGTCCCAATTTCCAGTTCCACTTATAACCACTTACACCCCAAAGTCTTCCATCTTATGGAAGGGGCTTCCTTTGCAAAAAGCAACAAAATGCCCAATCAATCTACTAAAAATGAAAACTGTTTCATTAAACATTTCCTTGAGATAACCAGAAGAAACCTTAGCTGGTAATATACATAAAATACATATGACAGGCTCGCAATATGAGAATTACTCAGAGCATAACATGCCAGACTATCAACGATGCAAGGATTGGGAACAGCTTGGTTTCTCTTAAAACTGAATTCTAAAGATTGTATTAAACAGGAGATCTCAGTTCAGTGCAATACACAAGCTTTGACTGGACAATGGTAAGCACAATTTAGAATCATATTCTGTGTGTTAAAATCCCAACTGACAGAAAACCCAAATCAAATTGATCATGGACTAAGATAATCCATGAAGGCAAGATTCGGAACTAGGGGCACCTACACATGTGATGGACTGCTGCTCCCACACGTGGTAATTAGCACGCATTGGAGCAGACTCATAAATTCATAGATTTTAAGGCTGGAAGGGACCTTGGAATATCATTGGGTCAGGTGACCCCAGCAAGGTGACTGTCTAGTCTCCTCCTGAAACAGGGTAGGTGATTGCACCATCACTGGAGGGAGCTTATTACCAGTCTGGACACCCTGACTGTGAAGAAGTTTTTCTTAATGTTGAGCCTGAATCGATCTTCCAAGAGTTTGCAGCCATTACTCCTGGTTTTCCCCTTGGGTGCCCTAGTGAAAGCAGACTCAGTGAAATGAGTCTGCTGGAGTGTGCTCATTAGCACACTCCAGCAGCTTCCGTGTCACATGTATTCAGTGGCCCCATGTTTCAAAATGGCAGCCGGGGGGCTTGAACTAAAGCTCATTCAAGGAGCTTTTAGTTAAAGTGCCCCCTGCTGCTATTTTGAAACACAGGACGCTGAATACATGACACAGCTCTCACAATCGCTTTAATTAAAGTGTTCCACCCCAACCCTGGAGTACATGTATAAATGCCCTAGATGTGCAGCTTGTCTCAATACAGGCTTCTGTTTTGCACACATACACAATTCTCAGTTTCCCTATATACTAGTGTACAAATAAGAGTATGCAAAAAAAATAGTGGCTAATCTCAAAACATTTCCCTTTGCTCATTAAAGAAAGTCATTTGCAAGGACTTCCTTCTCTCTCAACAAATCAGGATTCCTTTACTATTAATTTGCTGCTAGGAGCTGTTGTTGCTAGGGAACTGCAGTACCTGGACTCCAAACCTGGTGGATAGGAAAATGGGAGAAAAAGGATTTTCAGCTTGTTTGCTGGCAAGGTATTTATGCCACGGTATGTGCAGTTCCCGACGTGGATTGTCACAGGTCACATTTAACAATGGATCTCAATGCTAGTATTCATAGCTCATTCTAGAAAGGCAATAGTTTTCAGCTTCAAGTGATTCTGTGGGATATTTACATAAACACCATAACTATCAGACAAGAACAAGTTGTGGTAGAGTTTTAAGTCCAAGAGCAATCCTTTCTCCTGCTAGATCTCTTTGGTAAGTCATCCAGATTTTTAAGGACTCATCTGCAACTCTGGGGGGGGAAGTCATATCAGCAACAACTCAGTAAGAAACAACATTTCTCAATAATGAATCGGAAGCTGCTTGACAATTTCATTTGACCGGATATGTAATAACCATGTAAACAATCAAGCTCAGAATACACCACAATTAACCTGCTTCATTCAAATCACTACTACTGCAGAGACAGCTAAAAGCATAGAACTTAAAGCTGAGCTTTCACTTCTCAGATCTTCAAGGTCACTTCAAAGCAAGCAATCATTTGGTTATTTCCTAGTGTAATACAACATAACGGGAAGATGCCACAGAAACTGGCATGTCTGATCCCAAGCTGTTGTCACTGCCAACCCTGAGCTAGACTTCCTGGTTTACTTACTAACTTAGTCTTTGCAAACATTCAGTCTAGTAACAGATCACCTTTCCCTTCCAAAGGGCATACTGCTGAGACGTCACCTAGGATGAAGGAAAACCTGCTAGAGCTCAGAATTAACTGAGCAGCAAGCATTTGATGAATTGAGGAGTTAACATTAAAACAAACTTCCCCATCCAAAAATCAGGGTAGCTGCCTGCTCTAAGTACCCTAGTTTAAGCCTTGCTATCCATACACCTTGCCAGAGATGTAACAGGCCAGTACTACACCATGGGTGGCAGTGGTGCATGCTGCAGGAGCAGTGGCTGGTGGTTTGCTGTTGCTGGGAATGATGTCACCTCCTATTTTTGCTGCCAGTGTGTCAAGCAGCCAATAAAATACACCAGCTTTCAGCAGCAAAAAAGGAGGCGACATCTCCCACAGCAACAGCAAACCACTGACTGCTGTTCCCACACTATGCACTGCTGCTACTTCTATATTCCCTGCTGCTGAAGCCAAAACCACTCTAGGGGAGGTGCAGAGAGATGGAGGGAGAAGGATAAGGCACCCCTCTAGCTCCATTCCAGCTGCTCCCCCTTCCCACCACCCAAAAAAAATAATACCTGAGGTTTGTGCCCCAATCACCCACCCATCATTATGCTACTGTGCTTTGCTGAGCAGAATAGCTTATTTCTGAAGACAGCCCTGTACATGCGTCACCTATCAGCGTGAGGCACGTTAGGGTTGTATCACATTAGGTCCGTCTGCTAAGCAGCAGGTGAAGGATTCAAATCACATGAGAAAAGGATAGGATGGGGCCCTCAGGAAGCCATCTAGTTTAAACCCCCTGTCAAAGCCACCCCAGCTGAGTAGCTTTTTAGTCACCTTCTGCAGAAGTAAGGTAGGCGTGTAAGAATTCGCTTTGAGATTTGTAGATTATTTTCTGCACCCAGAGGTTCCTTTTGGCAGCCCAGATATTACAAATGAGTTATCTGCTAAGGCAAAACCTTTTGCATGCACATGTCCAGGGCAGGGGAGAAAGGAGTGGAGTTCACCTTGGACAAAGTCAGAGGTCACAATCTATGTCTGTGCACTGGCCTTTTCTATAAAAAGGTTCCTACCACAGATTCAGCTCTACCACCAGCAATGATGGTGGAGCTGATGGTGGGGTGGGAGGAGGAACAGCCAGACAAGGCTCCTACAGCTTTTGGCTTCTGGTGTCTTAGTGTCTAGAACAGGAGTGCCCAAACTGTGGCACAGGTGGCAGCAGCCTGTGTGTGGCACACACCAAATCAGGGAGGGGCTAGCAGCACAATAGCAAATAAGGCAGGAAGCAGAAAGCAGACCAGCAGATAGGACAGGCAGCATAGGATAGAGAGCAGAGCAGTAGATGGGACGGGGGAAGGGGATTGGACTGGCACTCAGGAAGGGAGCGGGGCCAATCTGTGGCATGCCCGCAAAAAAGGTTGGCCCCCAATGGGGTAGAGCAGGGGCTGGCAACCTTTATGAACAGCAGGCCACACCTTGAACCTGAGGCTGCCAATCCCCTGCTGCCACTCCTCAACTCTGCTCTCATGCAGGCTCCCCCCAACCCAGCAGCCTCTGCTTATGGTCATCATCAAGTGTCACAGATTCCCACAGCCAATAGCTGTGATGAGGGGCAAGTTCAGTGGCAACAGTAGAAAGCAGGTAGGGCTGGGGCTGCAGAGATGAGAGGTGGAATGTGGCAGAGGACTCAAGCAGGATAAACAGCACAGAGCAGGCAGAAGAATCTGGGGACAGCCCTTTTGTGGCCCCCACCACTGCGTGCTGCCTATCTCCCCATCCACCAAAGGCCAGATTCAAACTTCACAGGTTAGATCCAGCTCATGGGCCATAGATTGCCAATCCCTAGTCTAGAGGTCCTCATCATAGGCCTAAAAAAACATGGCCAGTAAGATGCAAACAGTCATCAGTGCCTTGTGTCCTCAAGCACTTCTGTTTTTGCTGCCACCACACACTTTAAGAAATAGGGAATTCCTAATGCAGGCAAAATGAAATCCCCTTTACACATCTATCTCGTGAATAAGCCAATATCTGAAGAAGATTTAGATACAAGTGTATGTAGAAACACTCAGAGAGGCAAGCTGTATCGCTATTATTTTGCCTTCACAAAATTACATATAAGGCTACAATTTGGTCACAGAAACTACATGAGCTTTAGGAGACACCTGCCACTCAGAAAGAATGCATACAATCATGGGAAACATAGTTCAGCCAGGCATGTTCACCTGTAGAAAAGATGGGGCATCAACCCTCCAAACTACACCTCCCATGTGACCATGCTTCCCCAACCAGCACATCACTTGGTAAAATTATTGTAGAGCTATTGTAAGTCTGCACCAAGCAAGCTGGGTAGCTTTTCTCTGAACACTGCTTTTGCTATAGCCTGCCACAGATTTTACTAATAATTAAACACAACAAAAGTTGCAGCCTTATATGTAAATACTCTGCAAAAGAGTGCCACTGTCTTACAGTAGCCACCTGTGGCTTTTGATCTTTTTCCACGCCTGGCATTGTTATTCGCAGATATCACCAGTATTCAGGGAATGGTGCAGGGAATCTCTGTGGCAATTCCACATACTTCCTTGCCAGCAGAGCATCTGTCCAGTAGATGAGGACTTTTGTTGCCACTACTCGCTTATTGTTGCCAAGACTCTGCCTTTAATACCAAGCACGCAAGGATGCGTCAAACTGACCACTACCTGGCTATGAGCATGTTCTTTATAGCTTACTTGCTACAGTCTCCTCCTTCTTTGGGGAGGGCTCTCGTAACGGCAATGGTGATGGGGGAGGCTGATGCCAACGACACAAATACATTTCTGTGGTTGAGAGGTATGGCAGATCTTCTATATCGCTGGAAAAGCTTTTATCCTTGGGATGGGCACTGGGACCTCGCAAGGGGGTGGATGGTTTTAGTGGAGTGTCCACTAGAGATCGGGTTTTTTCTGGAGTCTCTTGGCTCCTCAGTTCACGTTTGCAAACAGTTTCAGGTAAAGAGCTACTTGACTCCTCCTTCATTGGAGAGTGCTTCAAAGTTTTGCTTTTGACTTTTGAAAATTCAGTCACCAGCTTTTTAACTGGAGTTTTCCTCTCTGCACTTCCAAACGCCGACTTCCTGTTAAAAGAGGGAGAAAGGTCAGCAGTGCAGACAGGCAGGGTACCAGAAGGGGTCTATTCATTTTTCCAAAGTCTGCATTTGTTTCTGCATACCATAAAGCTAATACTAGTTTTGCCAGAGCTGTGTATTTACACTACTGCATTCTAACCTTATGCTCCTCCGCAAAGATCAGGTAGCAGAGCTGGTGGGTAAATGAACGATAAGCATTTTTCAGAAGACTAATGCATCGTATTCCCTAGGCCAGTGGTCTCCAAACTTTTTTGATCACGCACCCCTATCAGTAAAAAATTTTTGAGCACACACCCCCAATATATGTATATTTATATAAATATAAATAGAAGTTCTAATATTTTCTTCCCGCACCCCAATGGATCGTCTTGCGCACTTTGGAGACCACTGCCCTAAGCTACCACTCTCAACCCACAGTTGCTCACTACATCAACTGGAACTGCAAGTCCTCTTCTAAGGATATCCCTTTGTAGGGTGTGCTGCAGTAATATACTTTCATGTCTAAAGCAGCTCCACACACGCAAAGAACTCTGGGCATGGAACAACCACCACATAAACAATTTCTTATTTTAATTAAAAACATCCCAACTTCAATGAGATGACAAACAAATGAACAAAAGGAAACCAATCTAGACTCCAGAGACTTGGATAACTGGAGGAGATAGCAACAGCTATAAAGATTCACTGCCAGATGAACATTAAAGGACATTTCCAAATTTTTGTGAAGCTCACTAATCTCTTTGATAGGGTCCACTTGCAAACAGCAGTTCTTTCAAAAAAAGTTTGTAGGGGGTTTTCCCAGTTCCTTTGGCATTTAAAACAAGGACACATACATTTCTCCTCCCCCTTCCTATCACATCCTCCTGCTCCCTCAGTCATTTGTTGCTGTTGCTGCTGTTATAAGACAATACCTACTTCCATGGCCTCAGGAACAACATGACTGACAGCTCCCTTAAGAACAACATGTGAGTGATGACAGGCAATGTAGTTTAAGGGTGAGGGCATGAGACTGGTAGTCAGAAAAGTTTCCATTACCAGCTCTGCCACTGACCTCCTATGTAATGTGCTTCTGCAGAACCTACAGATTCTAAAAGATGATCGCCTCAGTGTGTAAGACAGGTAGCGACACTAATCAAGAAAATATAGGAACTTAGCCTGTCAAATGCAGAGCAAACAAGCTGACAAGAGGGTTACCTAACAGCAGATAGGTTTTTTGGAGAGAACTAGGATTTTCAAATTGCCAGTGTCTTTTTAATAAAAGGGAAGTGTACCTTGCTTCTGCATTCCCATCTATGCCTAATGCGTCACCAAAGCCATAAACCCCTTGGACAAAAGGTAGGCAAAGCGCTTAGTGACGGAAACAGATTCATTCCCTGCCCTATTTCTTTGGTCAGCAATAGTCAGATTGTAACTCCTGACCCTTAAGTGACTTTTAAACTTATCATCTCTGGCTCTTTTTAGATAATGTTACCCCCCCTACCTCCTCCACATGTGTTGAAGCGGTCTTTCCTGTAATCATGAATAATGCAACACATGCACTATCATAGTACAAGTACATTTCCCCATAGGGATGCAAACCATTCCTGCACTATTACAAACTAAGCAACAAAAATTCACCTTGGGGTACAAACTGTTGTGGCTCTTTGATTAATGCTGCTTATGTTGCTCCTAATCCAGTGAAGACCAAGAATGATGGCTCTAGATGCCTTTTATTTCAAGGATGCCTTTTATTTCAAATTAGGAACAGTCACGTAACTAAGAAGGGCAAAGCCACAAGTGAGCAGTATTAAATTACCCCTTATTCATAAGACCTGGCATGTCCCTTTTTCATTACATAATATAGAAAATGCTTTGTATTTGTTATCTGAGTGTTTCTCTCAGCTACCAAGCGCCCAAGATTCTGGCAGGAATCATCAAATGGTGTGGGAGGCTTGGCATTAGAGTTAACAGTTACTATGTTGTCTGTTCTCCAGGTGAAGTGATTGACAGAAGATGCATGTACACCCCCACTGATGCATTACAAGCAAGGTAGTGAAGCAACCCTGTACCTTTTATGTCCCTTTCCATTTCTTCCATACGAGAAGTGTTTGGGAGGCAGGGTCTGGGAAGTCTCCAGGAGATCCTGCTGGCACTCAATCTGTAATTTGTCAGATGCTTCCGACTCAGCCTTCTCTTCTGTTTCATACCCTTGAAAAATCCTGTGTTTCTCTCTCTCGTTATCTTTCTTCACCAGCTGCATCCTCCTTTCCATGCGCTCAATTCGAGCCAGGAGCTGAAATAGTAATGGCAACACTTATGCTTTGGCCAGCATTCATTCAGAGACCTAAACCAAAACCTTGCTTGATTAAAGAGACACCATAACCCTTGTTCCTCACACCTGACCCATATGGACATCTATGCATCAAGGTCCACAACCTTTACTCCATCACCCTTCCATGTTGCGTTCTGTTGTAAGCTACAAAGAGACTTTGCTGCAGCATTTTATTTCAGCTTGGGCACCCATAGTTTGCTCAATGCAGGTCTTAATGGAGACAACCTGTATAAACATTTACCTCCCAAATTCTCAGCAGAATCCTATAACCATACCTTCCACTTTAGAGTAACAGCTATATCATCTTAGGTTGCATTAAATAATCAAGGGATGCTCCAGACCTTATCAAGGCACTGCACAAATGTGGTTTTCATAATTAAACAACCCTCCTAATGGAGAGATTGAGAGAAAGCTTAAACATGAAGGACAGAAGAAACAATGAGACACTTGAATTCTGCAAAGATGTCTTTAAGGGCAACATTTTCAAAAACACCCAAAGTCCAAGTGATTTTCAATGGATTCTAGGAAAGTTTGACAATTTTACCATTTATGCTTAACCATGTGAAGTCTGGGCATCTTAAACTGTAAAACAGCTACAGGTTCTCAGAGGCATTTCTGTACTTGGCATTCAGCAAGGCATTCACCTGCCGTTGTACCTACTGCACCTCTTCCACCAAAGCTACTATTTGAAGATCCAGGCAGGGAAGCAAACAGCTGCATGTCTTGCCACCGGACTGAAACGGTGGCAATTTAGGTGCTCTCAAACTCATCTCCAAATTCCGAAAAATAAGTGTAATTGCTAGTGGAGTTTAAACAAGCTCAGATGCAATTTCAATTAAAAAAAGAAAAGCTCCGATTGATATACATATTTACAATACATCCCGTACACTCACCTTTATCTTAGGGTGGGTTTTTCAAGAGCACCCAAATCCAACTAACTTCCACCAGAGCCTGCATTCTTATATCACTTATGCACTTTTGACAATCTCACTCTTAAGTCTTCATCCAGCTCTTGGAATCCATTTATTTGGACAATACCAACCAGGAAAACAATTATACCGAGCTTTAAACGGCCTCAAATGGGGACACCAGTGAATTTGTTGCCTCATTCACCTCTGTTTTGCCCACATACAGAAACCCAGAATGGATATAGCCTCAGGTATTGGTTAGACATCTGCAGTCAGAGAGAGGAGCTCGAGTGCCAGCCTTCACAGTCTCAAAAGCTCTTATGTCTGTTTGACTCATAGGCTTGTACACGTGGTGCATGTGTGT